TGTGATGTTTATGGAAAATCAAAACAGACATATAATGACAGGATAAAAAGTGAGTTTTGGTATATTTATTTGTACTGGATTACTTGCTGATGTTTTCTGCACCTCAATGAACCTTCTGTGGTTAGCTAGTGAGGGTGAGTCTGGCTGATTGTTACTATATGTGTAGCATGTCTGTAAGTTAAAATATTTTTGGGTTATGAGGCCTAAAAGCAGATATATAATATTAGGTTACAGGGTGGGTTTGGGTCATTTTTTAGCTGGATTTTTTTGCTGATTATTTGCGATTGCAGGCTCAATAGCTAGAAAGAGCAAGTTCTGCTGATTGTGATATCATGTTTGTAAGTCAACCCACTGATGAGTTATGATGGCTAGAAGCATCCACGTAAACTGAGATGAGTTAATCGAAGTATTAGATGAATTCACTAGATTTTTTGTTGACTCTTCATGATGACTTTTGCTTTAAAATATAATATGAAATGTAATTGCACAATTATTTTATAGTTATGTAATGCATTACATTTAATTGTGATTTATATTCTTTTCTGAGTGGTTTGAGTGTGCACTTTAGAAATTACAAAAACATGGATATATGGACTGTTTACATAAACATAACTTGGTAACACTTTCTATGAATGTCACCTTTGTAAGCATCTATAAACACATTTATAACATGTTATGATGTATTCATAAGGCATTATAAACATGGTTATAAATATTTATAAAAAAGAATTTATAGCCATGTTTATTATACATTATGAGTTGTTAATATAATGCATTATAAATAGTGTTAATAATTTGTTGTGTCAGTGCCAAAGAAGTCAGCTCCAGCTTGGAGAGTGCAAAGTAAAGACAAATACCAAGCTAACGGTGGTGCACATTGACTTTCCCACATTGGGTAAAACACTGATGGCAGCACTAGTTTAAACTCTGACATTTGAAGCCTGTAATGTGCTTTATTATGTATGTTTTAGTGTTTCAGTAAATCCTTCAGTAAATACTTCAACTTGAAGCTTCACTCTTAACACTGGAGGAGGCTTTAGTACAGTACGCTTCACTTTACTTAGAGTGGACAAACACGACTTATGAGCTCTTATAATTTGTTATGATCAGTACTTATAATGTATTATGTTAACAATTCATAATGCATAATAAATATTTATAGTTATGTTTATAATGTCTTATGCATGCATTATAACATGTTATGAATGTGTTTATAGATGCTTACAAAGGCGACATTCATAGAAAGTGTTACCCTATAACTTCTTTTTTTGATTTGTTTTATCAAATAATCACTTACAAACACAAATATGGCATAGATTGAAGGTTGAGCTTCTGCACAGAATTTCATGACGTTTATGAGACCATGGGTTAAATCCAAGGTCCAGGAGTGTCTACAGTGGACCATAAAATAAAGTTTTACTGAACTTTGAGCTGGCACAGTTGGGTATTAGAGAGGGATCGAGAAAGAGAGACAGAAACAGAAAGAAAGATAAGAAGAGAAAAAGGCTGCACAGTGTGTGAGCAGGGGCTGTGTAGAATTTTGAAGGCTCTCCATCCCTCCGCGCTCGGAAAGGATGAAATTGCAGTAGCTGCATTCAGAGCCCGGCACCTGGGACAGTTTTCAGGCATAGAGAATAATTGACTGTGAGCTAATTCTTATCAAAGCCCGTTGAAGTGCAACTAATGGACGGAGGGAGATGCCTCAAAGAGCCAGTGCTTTCTCTTCCTTTTGTTTATTTAGTTGGGAGAATGTTTGGTTTTTAATTAAGTAAATCACTATTATTTGTTCCACGGCGCTTGGTAATGCGAAGTGATTGCAACCTGACCTGAAACCCTGCACGTTATTGGCTTGGAGAGAAGGGAGAGAGAGTGAGGAGGGGGTGAGCGAAGGAGTGTGAAGCACCTTGTAATGGCCGTGATCCTCCAGAGAGGGCCTGACACGCACGGCTAGATACGGTCCCCGGGCTCTGCTGAAAACGCTCACTCGGTTCACTCTCATTACCTCAACTTATTCAGAGAAGTTCCTCTACATTTATTATCCAGAGGTGAAAAATGAGGGACAGGCCAATGGAGTGTACAAAACTTGCAAACATCCACACCCTTAAGGCTGCACAAGGGACCCTGTGCTATGTGATACTGGGATACTGGCTTTTGCAATAGTAATATTGCAGAGGGTTAGAATATGCAAATGTCCTGTGAGCATCCTAATATACGGAAGCCTTAAACAACCATGGATTTATGTATTTTATTTACTCCGTTTTGTTGTGATTAATACTTAATTAATGAGTTAGTGAGCTTTTTCTGTCATTATTGCAACATGTAAATATTGTTTTCCTGAAATGCAGAATGTTTTTATTGTGATCTTAACCCTGTAGGTTCACAAACTCGCCCACACATTGATCTCAGTGTTTCTATATATGTTTGTCTATCTTTGCGATTATGCAGTGCAGAAATATGGTTCAAACAATTCCTGAATCTGTAGCGTCACCCTTTCCATTCCATCTTATCACCAGATCGTACGTATGACTCACATCTGGAGTTATAAGCCTATGAAGAGGGGTTGAGAAACATATCATCTGCCTCTCAATGTGTGTAATAGGTGTGTCTGTCTACATTTTGTGTCAAGTCAAAGTTTATTTATATAGGGCTTTTTACCATAGCCATTGTGACAAAGCAGCTTTAAAGAAAAATCCTGGTCTAAAGCCCCCATGAGTGTCACCAATGGCAGTGGCAGGAAAAACTCCTTAAGAAGAAGAGGAAAAAACCTTGAGAGGAACCAAGACTCAAAAGGGGAACGCATCCTCCTCTGGTCAACACTGGATAGCAAACAATAACAGCAGAGAATGAGATTTGACCATCAGTATAAGATATGGAAAAAGGGAAAAGCAAGAGAAGAAATGTCTATGATTAAAAAATGCAGCAGTTTCAACAGGAGGGTCAGTTCATGCTGGTGAAGTTTGCACAGTGTTATACAGCAGGAAGCTCCATGGTGGTCAAACTGGTCCAGAAGGATGGCGAGCAGTAGGCACCCGATCAGAGCAGATGAAGTAACAGCATCAGGCCACACAGGATGGGCAGCTGTTTAGCTCAACAAAGAAACACACAGGCAGTTAGTTCTGTTCAGAGAGACTGATGACAGTATATAGTGTTAAAATAGTGCAGCAGAGACTCCGGCAGGCCAAGCTATGTGAAACTGACCAATGGATACTGAAATTTTGATATGAAACAAGGGTATCATGCTATACGCAAGTGCCTTTGAAAGCAAATTTAAGACGATATTGAGGAATCAAGATAGAAAAATCAAGACTCCGGGGGGAAAAAGATATTAAGTTTTCAACATAATGAATCTGAGATCTGGCAAAATTGGCTCTTGCATGTGATAGAAAGCAAATCACGTTGATAACAGTTAATTGTATTGACCCATTTCTTAAAAGTATTAGTGTTGAAAGAACATAATTATGCCAAGCATTAAATCAGCCGAGGTCGATCAAGTCAAATAAAAGACAATGAAATGTGTTTTTCCAAGTCTTATGGGATTTATACTCGCTATCACAAGACGCATACCCTAATAAATTAGGTCTGTTGCACTTAAAACAATATATATCTGACATGGCTTAACTTTAGGGGAGCTTTGAAATGATATCATGCATTCAAATGAGATCTTTAAGTTGAATGAATGTATTGAAATTTGGCTCCATTTATTTGCATGGGTGGGGGGGGGCATCTTCCTCTTGTTTTACTTACTATCTTTGCATTGTTTATCCTGGGTGTATGCTTCCATTATACATTTTGGTTACATGCATATATTATCTATTGTTGAGTTCCAAATTGACTGGACACTATAGTGACTACTATTAAACGTACTCTAGTAAGATAGGTTAGTTAACATAAGTTAAATCAATACTAGTAAACCCAGTTCAATGAACTTGAGCTGAGCTGAGCTGGAAATGTGATAGCAGGTTAAGTTTAACCAATTTCACCCCTTAACGACCCAGGCTTGTTACATACAAAGTCTTATTATTCAGTAGCTACAGGGACTTCAGTACAAACTAATGGAGCTATTATTCGGCTGTAGAAGAGTGTAATAACACTTGTGGCCTGTAAGGTTTCAAACACGGTCAGACGCTCGCAGATGTAACTTACAAAAAGGGCTTTACTGGTAGAAACAGAGTTCAAAGTCGTAATCGATAACCAGGCAGAGTTCAGATCCAGAAGGCACACGAAAGATACAAAGATCAGCCAAGGCAAAAATCCAAAAAGGGTAAAGCAGTAGCGTGGTTGTTACAGGCAAGTGGTCATAATCCAAAATCAGAGACAATGCAACCAAATCCAAAGGGCAGAGCAAAAAGGGCAGAGATGAGAAAACGATAAGCAAAGGTCATACACGAAATACACAACAATGAATAAACGCTCAGTAGATCGCAAACTGGATACAATACTTCGCAACTTTACTAAGCTAAAGCCCGGGCTTATATACTATACTGAGTATATCATATGACACATAACGCAGGTGAATCACATCAATACTCTGGAGAGCTAGAGCGCTGATAGGAGCGCGGTGTCACGTGAGACATCATGTGACTTCCCATAGGATCCTGGGATATTGAGTCCGAATCTACAAGGGGTTTCAGAGGCTGTGTGACATGGCCCACTGTATACACACACACACACACATATATATATTACTGTGGTTGGAAGAAAACCTTGTATCGCCATTTTTGTCATTTTTCAGTTTTTGACATTATTTGAAAATTCCTGTTGCCCTTTACATTGTGTGTAAATTTCATGAAGAATGGACCAAAAGAAACGGCCAAAATGACTTAGGAAAATGTCTGGTTCCATTGACTTACATTAAAAGTAAAGTAGTTTTTTTCCTTTTCCTGTGAAGTTACCATTTTGGAGATACAAGGTTTTATGTACAACATCTTTGAAATGTGTGCTGCTGCGTCTCATTCTTTGTCTATGTGTGTGTGTGTGTGTGTGTGTGTGTGTGTGTGCAGGACAGTTGCTTTTCTGTGATTGGAATAAATGGCCATGATGTCAGCATTGATCCTTCATGCTTTTATCCTCCTGCTCTTCACTCAATTACACGGTAAGGACATGCGGGCATTTCTATGGAACAAACCAGTTGTTCATGAACTCATGCTGCTGTGCTCAGGTGTTGTGTAGGAGGTTCTGGGTAGTATTCTGTTGAGTAGGACACTCTTCTTCTGGTAGAAAACACTTCAATCAACTAAGCTTCTTGGAAATTGGCTTCTATTTGTACTGTTCAGAAGTAACATGTGTACATATAAGACTCAGCAATTATGTGTGGAAGAAGCATTAAAGACACAATGAGTACTTTCTTTGTTGCAGTAACCTTAGAAAAACATAGATGGTTATATGTCCTATATGTTTTTTTGTTTTTTTTTATATATCCATGAGGAATCTTCTCATGTATATTTGTAGCTCAAGAGCCCTTGAGGATGTTCGCCATTGAGTCTATTGTCACTGTTGTACATTAATGCAATTTGTTCCAAGTAATTTTAGGCTGTTTCCTTCGGTCCAAATATTAATACAACGTAAAGGGCAACTTATGTTTTAAATGCAAATGTAATGTTAAAAAAATAAAGAAAAGAAAGAACAAATCTAATGTTTCCAGGAACATGGAATATAAACGCTGACCACTTGTACGTATGCGATCTTTCATAGATCAGTGAGCAATAAAAGGTCAAGCTTATTGGTGTTTAATGTTAGGATACGTGAAAATAAATGAGTAGACTTTAGAACTGCATATAAATAATTACATAAATCAACATGTTGTGAAGTTATTATAGATGTTGTTATCTACACTTTCCCTAACACTTTATTAGGCATACATCTACCTTGTACTGACACTCATTGGTCACTTTGAGGACCACCTGCCTTATAGGTGTACAATTACAGACTATTGCACACGTTTCTGCAAAATTTGTCAAAGTGTGATTCTTGTTGTCACATATGGACATATACATGCCCAGCATCTGACTAGAAAATGCATAAAATATCAATGTCTGTTTTGTTTGAAATATGAATTTTCATGTTTATCTTTCATTTTTGAATGGTACTATTTGGAATAGGTATGAAATGCTATTAGGAACAAAACATTCAGAGAGTAGGACTGGGGAAATTTGTTTGAGGCAATTATTTAGATTGTTGTTTAATATTACAGTAATTTATTGGCAGTTATGCCTGTTTATTTACAGTAATTTTACTGTATTATTAAACTACAATACTTTACTGCATTTCTACAAACAGTTGGTTACTACATGCTATTAAAAATGTGTACCGTAAAGTGTAATAGTCAGTACTCTTTTTTTTAAAATGAAAGGTTAAATGCATGTAAATAGACCATACATATACTGTAATTTAACACTGTAATGTATCACCTTTAATTCACAGATATTCACATTTATTTTAATGGTTGTTACTGTTGTTATTATTATGGTAGAATACTCAGTGTCAGAATTATGAGTTAAGCTAGTGAAACTGTTGAATTACAGTAAAAGCCAGTATTTGTAGGAAATGAAATTACTGTAAATTTACAGAATTTTACCATCATACTTCTAGCATTAGGTTCTGTCTGGCCTCAATTTTTTATCTATCTAGCTAGTTTCTGGTTGCAAGGACTTAAATGTTCATGCAAATTGCTGCATAGTTAACAGAGTGGTCAGGTTATGTTTCATAACAGCTTAGAACTGTATATCAATCACTATGAACTGAACATCATGTTACAACAGTTACATGCCTGTCATTAAGACTACAAAGCTTGCAGTAACTAAATATCTTTGTAACACTTTATTTGGACAGTCCCATGTAGGTGGTTTGTAGATGCTCAGTATTTCTTTAAGTAACATTCAAATAAATATCTATTCAGTGTAACTGAACTTAAAGTTGAGTGAGTGTGAGAGATTCTAGTAAATGTAAACTTAATCCTAAACCTAACACTAACCCTAACCTCAAGACAAAACCCACTCCTACTCCTATAACCCTAACCATAATGTTGTTGATAATCAACTGAACATTACCAGAAAGTTTGTTAATGATATACGTATCTGTAGATCATCTGTAAGGGACCATGCAAATAAAGTTTGACCAAAATCTTTTAATTATGACAGAATGAACCAGTAAACTATTATGATTGGAATTGCAAAATATCTAAAATGCATTCAGACATATCTTTGGAGTGGGAATAACATGTCCAAAAATGAGAATAAATTGTAGATGACAAATAAAAGGAAATCAACAAAAACCAATAAAATGACACAGAATGCTGGGGGAGCTTCACTGCCGTCAGAGACAGCTGTTCAAAACTGCACAAATTAGCGCCCACTTTCCCAACATGCTCTGCAAATAACAGTTAATTACTGTAAAATGCAACATTTTAACCTCCTTGGCAAGAAGTTCGACCTGTTTCTCCAAGAATACATTACTTTTTACAGCAGCTTGCTACACTTAAAGGGGAACTCCACTGATTTTGCAAAATTACTTAATCATTTGACAGTTTAGATGCAAACTAAATCATTCAGAGTGGTTCGGTGGGAAACGTGCCTTTCTAGAGAAATTTACAGAGTCAGAATTGTTCACCATTGTAGCAGGAACCAGATGTCTGAAGCATTTAACGGCTCTAAACACTACATCCCGTTAAGTTATTACACAGAATGGTTATAAATGTGTTCCTTGATACCTGAGACGTTGTTTTGTGATAGTTTTGTTATAAAGTTTTGACATATTTTTGTATAATTTTTTTACTCCAGGATTAGTTCTGTGTTTCCTCTCAAAACCGGATTCTCAGCTGAGATCACTGCGCGCAAGCTAACATGCATTTGTTGTTACTAGCCTGTAGCTACAGTGGTTCAACATGGCTAATGCCAGCAGAAGCTTTGGTTTACAGCTGATTTTGTGTCAACAACAAACTGCTCACCAGTTTATGAGGTAGGACAGTGAGGTAGACAGTTTTGTGGCCTACTTTAGACAGTCTGTAAGCTAACGGCTAACAGTGATATATGCATGGTGGCTAACAACGACTAATTTATTGCACTCACAAAGGTTTCTTACCCTGAATCCAGTTTCTGTGGTGGAAAATACAACAGAGGGAATAGCAGTTTTCTTTAGCAGCCGATATTTAAAAAAATGTCGCTCTGCATTTTTTCACCAGTCTTGATTCGTCTTCATCGGTTTGTAGAGTTATGCGACTTTGGTATTTGTGTGTAGCTTCAAAACAATTAGCCACAACTACAGTAGCCAAAACTGGTGCAACTGGTGCAACAGTGCAGTTCACTACCATTATGAACAATTAACCAGCAAGGTGCGACTGTGATTTATCGCAACTTCTTTGATGAATATCCCATAAGCTCTGAGTTTTGCTGACACCGTGTGATGCACTGCCGCCAACCCAAACAACACAAAAGGCGGGCAGCGTGGATTGGTACATGCAGGGCGTTGTAAGGAAAAAATAGCACCCAAAGAAAACCTAACACTGTTTGACTTATAAAAACTTATAAGACACATGTAAGTTCACTGGTCATTTTGGATAGCAGATAAAATTGTGATATTTGTAGTGTGGAGATACGGACGTCTGGTTACTAGTACTACAATGGTGAACAATTTTTCTCAGTAAATTTCCCCGGAAAGGCACATTTCACACCAAACCACTCTGAATGATTTTGTTTACATATAAACCATTAAATGATTAAGTAATTTAGCAAAATCGGTGGAGTTCCCCTTTAAGGAGTAGACTACTGCAGCGTTTTCACTGCAAATTTGCAGCAATACTTTACCATGCATGTGTGCATGAATATATCTGCAGCTGAATCGCAGCTATACGTCACCTACTTGCTTAGGAAATGATTGGTTTCCTGTCGCTCCCTTGCCAGCTAATGTAAATGCGGAACAACTGCACACAAGCAAGGCTGTACTAGAAGGGAGGCATTTATAACAAAGTGTAAACTAAGTGAACTGTGCTAGCGAGTCTGTAAAAGTTTCCAGAAATTTGGATACCGTTGAACTGCTGGCTTTTCCATGCTGTCTTTTCAACAGCTTCGTTTCACTACAACAGTGGTGAATATTAGGCACAAAGTGGGATTGAATAGAACGAATAAGTCAGAGCTGTTTACAGCTTGATTGACCGCTTGTTTACTTGCGTGTAGCTTTCCTGAACACAGTATGTGTGTTGAGTTTGAGACCTGCTCGCTGCAGAGTGAACCCACAACGCCTGCCGTGTCTTTTTCTCTTGAGGCTGGCCAGGCTGTACGCTCATTCTTGCACTCTATTCACCTTCCTCCACATGGTTTTACCTCACAATCTTACCGCCAGCTATGCACTGCTATGCGCCTGCAATCAGCTCTAGAACAATCAGCCATTGAAGTTTGAAGGCCACACAAGAGGCGCAAAGCAGGTTGCCATTGTGCTGCCAGGCTACAGCAAACAACATAATTAGATTTGTCAGGTATGGACTTTGGTACCTGCAAAGAAAGAATACTTTGATAGCTGTTTGCACAGGTTTCTGCATTTCTAACTGACCAAAAAGGAGCAATGCCTACTTGTATGTATCCTATAGGCCCACGTAGCATGTAGGCTAGGCTAGCTGATGGCAAACCAGCAGAATTCTCTGATAAAAAAAGAAGATTAAGGCCATAGAAATAGATTATCGGCCTCATTTCTGGGAAATTAATTGTCAATTCTCGACAACAATAAATCTGATGAGAGTGCCAGGCTGCATTGCTAATAGACCCAGCTCTATTTTTGAACCGACAAAACGCCACACAAATGATGCTCGCAAATAATCCAAATTTTACAAGATGCTCAGTAGTATTTAGGCTATGCAAATTGGGCAGGCGATGTGAGACATGTAAGGGTGAATAATCACTCAAAGATATAAGACAGCAGAAAGTATATGACAGATGTGACAGATCAATCAATATTTCAACCTCGGTGTCTGACACAAATCCCGGGTAGAGATCTGCTAATCATGCTAATAAGCATGTTACACCCACATAGCCTTTTCTAACATATGCTAATACGCACTTGAAGGCTGTTGAGGTGAGAACGGAGAGGAACATTTCTCCGAAGGAA